CATGAGAAGAGAATACTCCCTGGAAAAGACCCTGATGTTGGGAAAGTGTGAAGGCAAGAGGAGAAGGGGGCGACAGAGGAAGAGATGGTTGGACAGTGTAATCAAAGCTACCATCATGAATTTGACCCAATTCCGGGAGGCTTTGGAAGACATGACGGCCTGGCCTGCTCTGGCCCAAGGGGTCATGAAGAGTCAGACATGACTTAACCACTAAACAAGAACAACAACAACTTTCCATTTCAAGAATCAGCAGAGTATATGGGGCTGCAGTATTTTAAAAACCACAGAAAAAAATTACCTTCAGCAGCCTACACCTGTGGTACTTTTTTGTAATATCAACAGACAAACATATCTATGGATAATTAGAATTAAGGATATTATACTGTCAAGAAACATACTCCTAAAGCCTCAATTTCCTTTAAAAAGCAGACAGGCTGATTAAGCTTTTCTCCTATATTCATCTTTGCTGTTTATATCCACCATAAATGTCAAAATGCAATTTTAAACTCTTCCTTTTCTGATCAATTATATTCAGAGAGTTCTTTCTAGATCAACGTATAGCCAAGCTGAATGGCATCTCATGTTACTTAATGACGTGCACTGACGTCAAATGTCAGTAATGTCGTGTTTGAAGCACCCCTGCCTCTGGGCCTCAATGTACCACTTCCATTCTGGGATTTTGGATACGTTCGCCTGCCTTTTGTACTAGGAGGGATACTGCCGAATGTGCCTTGTAACTGTGCTTTCTAAAGTAGTACACTCTGATTTTCATTGACATTGAAGTTCTAGCTCTCAGCAGGCATTTTTAAGGAAGAGTGAAAAAAAACAGCACATCCAAAATGTGGTGGGAAGGTGGAGGGACATTTACTCCTTAAGATTCAGTAGCTTCAAACAAACAAGTTGCAACTTGCTCACTAATTATACAGGCAAACGGTACAGAATTTCCCTAATTTTGTTGTTGTCGTGTGCTGTAAAGTCACCTCTGATTTATGGTGACAATATGAATGAGCAACCTCCAAAATATCCTTCCTTCAACAGCCATGCTCAGCTCTTGCTGAGACCATCTCATATTTGGTCTTCCTCTTTTCCTGCTGCCTTTCACTTTTTCCAGTATTTTCCCCCAGAGAATCCTGCATAATATGCACAAAGCAGGACAGCATCAGTTTCAACATACGGTATTTGAAATTTGCATTACGTCAGTAGGAGCAATTGTTATGCAGGACCAAACCCATTTTGACCTTTTTTGAGGGGTGTGATAACTGTATTTCTAAAGTCTAAGTGGCCATTTGTACAAAACAAACAAACCAAGACCATGGCAAAGTATCTGTGAGACCCTGCACTTTTAGAGGGATTGAACCAGAAATTTAAAACTCTGCAACACAAATAGTGTGTGAAGAAGGAACGGTTTTCAGTTCCTCATTCCCTTGAAATCTGTTATCCATCATCCACCTTTCTATTAATCTGAGCAATTTTGTTTAAGCACTTATTTATTCGGAAGGACGTTTAGGTTTAGCACTTCAAGTCTTTCTTATCACTGTTCTTCCTAGCTGGGACAGAAGTGTCTCTGTTTGCAGTCTTGATGGAATTTGTCCAAGGAGCTTAAACAAACAAGCAGGCTAGTTTAAGTTGAGAAATGACCCACTGTGGTAAACCCTGCTCCACCTAAGCACATTTTAGTTGTGGGTTGAAAGGTGAGCAAAACCATCTGTGGTCACATATCATTAGTAGTGAAGATTTGAACAAATTCTTTGGTTCCCTGACCTCATGTACCTCAGAATTTATTTCTTTGGCAGTTTCCCCTATGACCAAGCCTTCTGTTTCTGAATTAGATTCCCAATATGATTCCAGAATGTTTTTTAACAGAAGGCTGGAAACAGAACAGTGATAGCTCCCAGATGGAAGGGGTTGTTAATGCCACCCTTATCTTCTTCCAGTCTCTCCCTAGATTGTATACACAAGATGGCCTGAAATGGACCATGCTTCAGGAGTGGTGTAAACATCTGTAGAGATCATTACCCATGGACTGATCACCAGTTCCTAGGCTCCTTGGGATTGAGGAATAGCTATGGCAACCCTTTCTCTTGGCATCACTAGTGAAGTCTACAAGGGTTTTCTTTCTATTGCAATTTGATTCTCCAGATGGGTCCCCACCCTGATTCAGAGGGTTCCCTCCAGTGTCTGTAGGCTTGCATTCCCTTAGGAAATCCTTTGGAGAAGCCCTTCTTCTGGAAACAGTGAACTTGACCAGGAGATTGGGTGACATCCAGGTTTCTGAGGAAAACCCAGGATCTATCAGCCTTGAAGAGATAACTCTCCACCTGAAGGTACCACAAGACTCTTTGTTGGTTTTTCTGAACCTTTGGTAGAACGTTCCTGCCCCAAATGCAAGAAACGGTGGTTTATATCATTATCGACTTATGGGGATGCTACTCTTCAGTATTTCTTTGCTCCACTTCTCTGCTGGCCAAAATCAGAAGGCTGAATTATTGTGAAGTATTATTCAGGTCAGAGAAGAGGAACTCATCTTCAGGTAGGGACTGCAGTAGATTCTAGGCATAGGTGTTTTGCTTGCTTGCTTGTTTGTTTTTTAACTACAGCCCCCAGAAGGCTTCAAAGATTCCTCCAGCCTGATTTCTGGGAGCTGTAGTCCATGAATAATAATAATAAAAAATCCCCATGCCTGTTCAATTCCTTCTTCCTTTCCTTTCCTGTTCCTTTCTACTCTTGCTGTATTGCTGATAAAAGCTGGCTAGATAGCCCAGTGGTTTAATTAGAGGTCAAGAGTTTGATTCCCTACGGTGTCTCCTGAATTGATTTGATAGCACATGATTATTACATTGCTGATAAATGTAATCTGCATTTTTCTTCCTCATAGGAAATTCCACAGGGAATCCCACTGTTGAAATGGGAAGATCCCTCCTTTTCCGGAATGACATACTCCCCACCACCACCTCATCAAGTTTTATTCCACTGCTGACCAGAAAAAGATTTAACTGTTTCTTCTCTGCTCCACAACCCATTGCCTAAAATAACCCTTCAGGGTGAGTCTAATCTTCTGTCCTTTTTTGGATTTGATTAGGATAAAATAGCATGGCTCTTACAAGAAAATTAGCCTTGCTTTCAGATTGGGGGCTATGAGCCTTGAAAATTCAAGCCTCAAGCCATCAGTGTTAGGACATTGTAATAAAATGATGACAAAGGGAGGTCAGCTAGGAAGTAGAACTCTGCTGAGTTCTTTCCAAATGTGTTTTATCCTGTACTCCACATTGAAACACCTTTTCCCATTTTAAGGACCGAAAGTGAAATACATCAAATAGAACATATGCACCTTTATTCATTCTCTTCCCCCCCCTTGTTCTTTCAAAGCTTTCTCAAAGAGAGCTAGAAAGTCCTGCTGAAAAAGAAAAGTAGCAAATTAAAATTTATTCTGCTGAAAAGGGGATCATTTGGCAGAGACTTGTGTCTGCTGATATTCATTTCAGAACACAAAATTTTTTAAAATCCTTTTTTAAGAAAAAAAATCACAGTGTTTCAGCATACATTTATTGAAAGACTTCTTTCAAAGCTAAAAATATAGTTTAAAAAGCTATTTGATTCTATTTTTTTCTCTAATGGTCTGGCCAGTAGTTAAAGGTGCAAACAGCATGAGATCCTTCTTATTCACTTTTATTATATGATCACACAGTGTGCAAATACCAGGCCTACAGGGAAGTTAGAATTCATTAAAAGAACTAGTGCTAGAACAGACACAAAAGACAACTTCCCCCATTCAGATGTATATCTGCTTTTGCCTATCATGTCCATTTATAGATAGTAGGATTAAAATTTTTCTTTTTCCACAATCAAAACCTGATTATTCATCTTGTTGGCACGTTGTCAACAGTGCTGTTCCTCACCTGCCTTGTGCAGCTCAGACCTTATATTCAGCAGGTAAGAAGCTGCAACTAAGGAGTCACAGGGCTTTTTTGGAGTGGGCTGGTGCAGGCTGGAAAGGGTTAAGAGACTGGCGCTTTAGACAAACCAAACAAAATTTTATTTTTCTTCACTTTTTTTCAAGTGATGCAGTGATAGTCTGCCAGAGTCTTTTTTTAAAAGTTCACTTCCCCTGTCCCTCTGCCAAGGAGCAGAGGAACAGATCAGTTTGCCAATATCCTGAAGTGGCTTGCTTATTAAGCCACTTCATGATATGAGTAATTTCCATAGAAGGAACCTTAATGGCCAGGAAGGCTTGCTTTTGGTTGATTCCCAGCAATCACACACACTGGGAATGGACCAAAACAGAGAATCCTACCCATGTGAGGAAAAAAACGTAGAAGCCCTGGCTGAAAAAGGTGCAAGTAGGTGTACTGTGGGAACTGTTTGGTTATGGCAATTATGTTGTGTGATCACTGGAGAAAAGAATGAACCAATCTGTCCCTGAAACAGACCAGACAGGAGGACAAATGTCTGTCTGGGTGAGCCCACAGTAGTTTTTATAGGTCCACGTAAAGACTTATTCTTCCTTTCTTCTAGGAGAAGCAACCCTGCCTCATATTTGTACAGGTGGTACTAAAGCACAACATGTATTTATTTATTTATTAGTGACATTGATCTCCTGCCTTGTGCGTAGTGAGTTCAAGGTGACTGCATGGCTCTCCTCCTTCCTACAATAGTCTTACAACTACAACCTGAGGCAGACAAACATTAAGCACAGTGATTGGTCCAAGATTCCTCCTTCAACCATGTGGTAAGTATAGTCCAGTCATGCAGTCCTGCTGCATTTATGTCAAAATCTGTCATAGAGTTGGCTTTTCGGCTCCTACCATTCCACCCAAAGGATTTTCACCTGCTGGGCTTCAAATTTTATTGGGAACAGTACAACAACAAAGTTATGCCCATAGGTTCCTCAGATTCTTGTGCAGCTTTTGAGACATTTGGCACATTAATTGAGTGGGTCTTGAAAGGCAGGATGGCCTCACCACATTTCACAGTATTTGGATGATTTCCTTATAGCAGGGCCAGCAAGTTCATCCGCCGGTGTGGACAGGGCTACAATTATTCAAGTTTTGGCTGGGGAACTAGAGATCCTGTTGGCAGAGGGGAAATAGAAAGGCCAGCTATTTGCTGGTTATATTTGGGGGGTCCAGTTTGACACAGTGCCTGGCACTTCTGCACTGCCAAGGGAGAAGATGGTAGCTCTTCGAAAACAGTTGCAATATTGTGTGTAGACTGGCGGCTTCAGGCAGGGCCTTTTGTGCAAAACTTAGCCAGGCTTTCTCATGGGTCAGAGGACACCCTCACCATACTCTGTATGCATCACTAAGGAAACTAGACAAGATTTGAAGATGTAAGTAGAGTTCTTGGAGCACCATAATGATGTATCTGTTTGACAGACCAATATGGACTGTGGGGATGTGCTGCGGGTCCAGTCAGATGCAGAGGGCAGTGCTGAATTTGGAGTATACCTGGGAGGGTGGGGGCCGTTCATGTGCACGGATAGGTGGAGCGATTTGCAGGGATCTTACCTTTTTGAAATTCTTCTAGTGGTTGTGGTGTGCATTTGGAGAGAAATATTAAAAGACCGAAAATCAAACTTCTGTGTGACATGGCGGTGGTCTGTGTAATTAATAGGCAGACCCCGTGGTATGAGAGGGTAATGAGGCTGATAAGAAAATTTGTGCTTACATGTCTTGAGGCTAACATCTCTTTCTCAGCACGTCATGTACCAGGTGTTAATAATGAAATTGCCAACTCATTGTCTCAGTTCTAGGTTCTGCAGCCTGCCTGCAGAAGCTCAAAGCAGCAGTTCTTAACCTTTCCTTTGCCATGGAACCCTTTCAATATCTTCTGTTGCCATGGAATACCAAGACTTTACTCAAGATTTAAAAACGTAAAGTGCATCAAATGTTTTTTAAAGTCCGATTGACAGATATTCCTTGCTATGACGGCAACACATTTTAAGAGAACTGGAAGAAGCTTCATTTTGCTTTGAACAGGATGTACCCCCATCAACAGCATCAGTTCTTTTATGTTTCAGATCCATTCTGAAGCTCAGCCAAAGTGTATTGTTATAAATTTCACTGCAATAATATCAAAAAGTCACTTTACCCAAAAATAACCAAATGGTTTTATTAGCAGAAATCGAAGAAGAAACACAATAACAATAAGTTCATCCAAACACTCACATTGACCCTGACTGACCCTGACTCTCTTTTCCCATGGTTTCTGTCTGCACAGTAGCAAGAAATGTTGCATGTTGTCTCTCAGCCACTCAGCGTCATTCACTTGCATGTTCTCACTGTGTGCGGAAATATCACACAGTCCTTTGCTATCGGTTATTTTCATAACTGTTTTTTACTTTTATTTATTTTTAATGCAGGTGGTAGGTTAGAAAACCCAAGTTTTGCACAAGCAAGCAAGCAAAATCAAGATTTTCCTTCCTTCCTTCCTTCCTTCCTAAGATCATAACATTTCTTCAAGCCTTCACAGACCCCCTGTGAGGACATTGCAGCCCCACAGAGGTCCATGGACCATAACTTAAGAACTTATGGCTCCGAGGATACCAGATATATCCCCAATGGAGGTATGGGATCTTTAGGAGTACTCATAATTCAGGGAACATTAAACTTGGTTGGACTTAATGCAAGATTCAAAATCCTAAAGTGCATCAAATATTTATTTAAAGCTGCTCATGAAAAGTCTTCAAATTAAGATTTTGCTCTACATTTCCTATTCTTTCTTTCCCCCCCCTCTCTTTCTTTCCAGCAAAAGTTCACAAAATTTCTTCTAGGTTCACAGACCCCCTGTGAGGACACTGCAGCCCCACAGAGGTCCATGGACCATAGCTTAAAAACGTATGGCTCCGAGGATACCAGATATACCCCCAATGGAGCTATGGGATCTTGGTAGTTTGTAATCCAAATTAATAAAAAAAAGTTTTTTTAAAAAAACTTGGTTGCATCTGCTACTCTTAAGCACAAGGTAGCTAGGAAGAACTTCCTTGGATTTGATAGAATGTGCAAGAGGAAGTGGTGCTAGCCTGCATTAGTAATGGATGGTGGAGTTACAGGGCAAGGTAGAGACCCCAGAACAATAGCAATGCGCATGGATACAATTTCATTTTTAAACAAGTTGCACAGAGGTAAGATCTCTGTGGGTCATGCTTAGCCAGAAGGGCTCTTGTGGGTTGGTGGGAGCCTATCCCACACATGGGTGTTCAATGGAAACTGATAACTTTCCCAACCCTATGCAGGTTAATGCAGGCTTTGCAAAGATGTTTGAAGTAGCTTTCACTATAGCCTCCTTTGGGACCCAAAGAGTGAGTGAGAAAGTGGTGGCTTCAGCCAGAAATGACACTAGGAGGACACTACAGGTGAGGGATGGCACTCTTGCAGGGTCCAGGTGGTGATTAAATAGTCCAAGTCTTTACCAGGCAGTGACTCAGCCTGGTAATATCTTGGAGAAATACTTTTGTCCTGTCCATGGTATAGGAGTTCTTTGTTCATCCATGCCAACAGTTTCCCATTTACTAGATTCCAATTAATGGGGGTCCATCATGCTGCTTTGTTTGAGGTTAATTTAAATCCACATGAGTATGAGTCTCATTCTTTTAGAACTGATGCCACCTGTATGCATAATGGCCGTAGGTCATTGGAGTTCTGGGGTGTTTAGATCATATATTTGGAATGAGGTGGCAGCTCACTATTAATTTATATTTCTTTTTCATTTTAAGCAGCAAGGTGGTCAGTATGGATAAGTGGGCACTGTGTGCATTGCCCTGAAAAAAAATATGCTACACAGCAATTGGATGGGGGCTCAGTTTGGGCCTGGGGGACTATTGTTGGGTAATTTGGATGGGCAGGCATGGAATGCATTGAGGAACCTTGCTCCTTATGCTGCAAAAATGAGAGGCACAAACCAGCTGGGGACCTGACGTCCTGATCATATAATTGAGGACAACAACCTGGTAGAAAAGGAACATTCATGCAGCAAGAAGAGATTTGCCTCCAACACAGGTAATGTTCACAGGGACTTCTATCTGGTGGTCAGTCTGGTTGGGAAGGATACAATGGAGGAGGGGGGGAAGAGCCAGCAAAAGTTGGCATTGTGAGGTGGAAGATTATAAACAAGGTGGGCCAAGCAGTGTTGGACCTTGGTGGGAGGGTAGTGGCTCATCCTAATTATTTAATTTGTCTGTGTTGTGTCAGCTGGATGGGGTGCATTTGTCAGATTGGGGACACAACATATGATTGCATATGTGGGATCCTATGGGGTGGGCTGCAGTTGCAATAGGTCTGGCGGGAGGCAGCAGGTGGTACCTGCCTGCCTCTGTGGCTGTTGGAAACATGATTTCAAGTCAGGTAGAGTAGGGTCAGACAGGTGTTTGGCCCTCCTTAGTGGGTTCTCTTTAACAAATGGGGTGGAGAAACATTGTGGGGCTCAGTTTGGGATACTGTGAAGTCTTTGCTCTGGGATTGTTGGAAGGGATCACACATTGGCAGATGCCCAGGTGTTTCACCCCATTCTTTCTGGTTATCTTGGTTACAACATCAGTCAGCAGACAGGCTGGCTGATGTTGATCCTTCCTACACAGTAGCAGTAATACTATTGGCAGCTGTTACCAACAAAGTTATGGCCTATTTTACTTTCAATGCTTGTGCGTTTCTGTGTGTATTTCTTACCCGCTCGGGCTGCAGCCTGCTAGCATAGAATGACACACATGGGTTTGGTTCAGTGTGGCTTGCTTTTCTGAATGCAATCAATGAGTAGCAATAGAAATGAATGAATGAATGAATGAATGAATGAATGAATGAATGAATGAATGAATGAATGAATGAATGAATGAATGAATGAATGAATGAATGAATGAACGGACCACTACCTCCTCCACCAAATGTTCAGCATAAGATAATCTTTTATTACCCATCTCCTTAAGGAAGAAACAGGTTACTACAATCTGTTCTGGTAGTGTAGATCATCTTGTTGGGGAAGGAGGCTTCCAAGGATCTAAAACTGCATTGTGAAGCCAACACAAGGCTGTCCCAAGGCAGTTTGCTGTCTGAGGCTCAGCAGAGAATGGCACCGCCACTTCCCACTCACTCAGATCAAGGCGCACAGGATTCAAAGCCACACAGATTATTTTGGCACATGAAGCAGATGATTATCTCTTCTCCTCTGTGACTGTAAAAGTACAGCAGCAACAAACTGGACAATGAATTTGCAGCCTTTTTATGAAACCCAAACCTGTACCCTGAGGTGCCATCTCACTCTAATGATAGGGCTCACCAAGAGCTGGTACCAGCAACAATTTCTTCATTAGGGAACATGAACATGAACACAAACACACACAGAGAAAGAGAGCCCTTGCCTGTCTGTTTCCTTTCAGAAGTGTTCTTTTTGGGGTGGGTGGGTACTTCTTTGAAATCACAACAGTTTAGCACGATACGGTAACAATGTCAGTGTAACAGTGAGCTATGAGCCAATTAAGAATCTGTGAGATGTCAGTTTCTTAATAAAAACAAACATAGAACAAGATGTTACACTTGCTAACAGGAGACTGAGAAGATTAAGTTAAAATAACCTGCAATTCATGGGTTGGTTGAGATGCTGTTGTGTTGTCAATTGACATTTTTCAAAGTGACTTGGCAGGCTCACCAAAGTTGCTGTACGATCCACAGTTGTTCAGTGGTACCTCAATTTACGAACACCCCTACCTATGAACATTTCGACTTATGAACAGCTCTGGCT